GCAGCTCGACTTGCTCGCGGAACATCTCCTCAGATCTCTCCAAAGCAGCCTTCAACTTACGAGAGCTGGCAGCGAGGGCAGCTTTCTCCAGCTCCAGTTCCCTGACGCAGTCATATGAGTCCGACCCCTCCTCAGCGAGGACAACGGCCATCTCGGCCATCTTAACCATCCCGACCATACTGGCGGCCATATGTTTTCTCCGACTTTCTTTGTTTAGCCGCCTGATGGTCTCAGCCTCCTCGGCGCTCACTGTCAAGGGAAACCCCTCGAAGAAACCTTCCTCTTTAAAGCAGGGGGGCAAGCCAAAGGCCCTCACCGCGACAGACTCATCACCGACTTCCAACTGGTTCTCTACCCGGTTTCTCTTTCTCGTTATCAGCTCAGGGGGCTGCTCGACGTCAGGGGAGTCCGGGAACCCGCTAGAAGCATCACCTGAACTGGTCGGCAGGCCCATCCTCGTTGCCTGTGGAGTTCGCACCAACCTTCTGTTGACTTTCTTGTCCTGAGTCAGTTTTAAAAGCCTTTCCCTTCGTCCGGACATATTGCCTGCAAAGAAGAAAACCCGGGTTAGTTACGAGCAAGTAACAAACAAAGAAACTAGAACAAAACTATAAGGCAAAAAGCAACCTAGTAGGTCCACGACCTGCCCGTAGGACTGGCACTCGACAAACGCCTTGGTATCTATAGGACGGGCCTCGAAGGTCGGGTAACCTTCCTCGTCAAAAATATCTTTCCCCTCCCTCGTGACCCACCGGGCAGGGAAGAAGCTGTCGACATACTTGCAAAGGGTACCGTAGGCTTCCTCATCCTCGACACTCATCCCTCCCGCAGGCGTATGGTAGTGCCCGGTGCCATGCTCGTAATGGCACGAGCACCAATGCAACGGGAACTTGGATACACGCCCCAACACCGGGCGACCCTCGTCGTCCATAAGAGGCTCCCCGTTCTCGTCGGCCACTGTGGTCTCCTCTTCATATATAGAATCCAAAGCAGTTTGGGTGACCGGCCGCACAACATACCATTTGTCCTTGAAACCCCGGATCGAATCCATGTACATCCTGAACAGCCTCTTCGACTGTTTCAGGGAAACCCAGCTATGCCTACCTCCTCGAGACTGGCGTTGCAAGTGAAAAACTCTGAAGAAGAAAGGAATGGTCGCCCCGATCCTTAAGAAGCGATATGTCAGCTCGAACTCCCGAAGAAAGGCGATCGAATTAGGGTGAAGCTGCGAGGGGGCCAAGTCCAGATGGCAGAATACCCCGATCTGGAAATCACTGAAAGGGAGCTTAAGGCCGAGGTCCTTGAACGCGATTTCATACATGGGAAAACCATACTCAGAGAACTCCGAGCAGATCCGCGCGTCGAGAGACGGCCTTGTGACAACAAAGTTCTTCTGGAAGCCCGGTCGACTACCGCTGTGTTCGATGATAGTGTAGGCGCTCCGACTATGCCAACTATATGCCGAGGCAATCCCTCGGAGCTCGGCGCCCACCCAATCCAGCGAAGGATCATCAACGGTATCAACTAGAGTTACATTCTCCTCGGCACTCTGGTCCTCGACCTCATTACGCCCCGAAGACTCCGGTTCGTCAGCCATTTACCTGCAAGGCACAGGAAACCGGTGAAATTCGAGAGCAAATCCATATGCTCGCCATAACTGATGGGAAGTAGGGCACAATAAGCCAAGACACACTCCACGCGCGTTAAAATGTTGAGGACTCGAACAAGATCCTGGTTTCGCCTCCCCGATGCTAAGGTTCCACGACGAGTTGTCCTACATACTTCCTAATGGGCCAACATCCCAGCCAGCCATGGGTATGCCGACCTAAACTACGAATGGGACGGGCAATATCATGAATCCTAAACCTAGAACTATGGGTTTACCGGGCAGTATCATATAATTATGCGCACAAAACCATGAAGGTCCCGGGAAGCATCGCGAGTCACATACCTAAAGCTATGAGTTTACCGGGCACAAACATGAATGTGCCGGGCACAAACGTGAATGTACCGAGCGCTAATCCCATATGTGGGTTTCTAACATCCAAATAACGGAAAAATTACCTACAACAAAGAAAAATAGGAGGGATAAGCGCTTACTTGGAAGTTACGAAGAAGGTACGGCAGCGGTGGAGAAAATCGACGGAGGAAGGTACGGCAATCTTGCGAAGTTGTAGAGAAACAGCGGCGTCAAAGGAAGAGGAAGAAGGAGAAGCGTGAAGAGGAAAAACAAATTATGGGACCCAAGGATCCTATTTATAGGGATGACGTGGAATACAAAACGTCACCCCGGGGAACCACGAACTTCCCCTCCTCGACGTCTACTCCCCTAGGAAATGATGGCCCTACTCTCGCTAGGGTGGCGTAACGGTTCCCAAGGGTTGCCTCGTGTGCCCAACGAACACAGCCCGCGAGGAATCCCTCGAGCACACATCGACAAGGATTACGCCACGAACGCAACTCATGGGAAACTTCTCGAGCAGTCACGGGGAAGCAAATATCTTGGGCCGAGTATCAGACCCCGTGGCAAAATATCCTGGGTCAGGCATTAGACCCCGTGGCAAAGGCGAGCTGAGATCAAGTCATAACTCCTGCTCCAGGAGCCACGACTTGGGGGGCTCCTGTTCTGGACTGGGCCCGCCTTGGCCCAAAAGCAAGAATGAAGGCCCAATCCAAGCAACTCCTCGTGGAGCGCGCACCCGAGGATTCCCGCCAGCGCGCCCGACCACAGACTGCAGCCGTGCCCACCGTTGCCCGCGAACATGGTGTCCCCGACCACGGAAACTCCAGCTCGAGCCCAGCTCGAGCACCCTCCTCGTAGGGCAGATTCTGACCGCTACCAAATCACCTGAACTCCGGAAAGACCGCGTCTTCGTCCCTCCTCATTTCTCGCAGAGCATCACCAGGAAGGAGACCACGTGCGGGTCCCTACTACACACGTAGAACCTGGCAGTTTCTTTATTGGGTCAGTTTCGGTCGGCCCAATGAGGGGACCTTGGCCCCACGCTGGGGGCTATAAATACCCTCTGTTCCTAGAGGGTCAGGTATTCATCTCTTACGCATACATACGCTTTTTGCCTGCTCATTCTGTCACTCACTTTAGCATCAGAGTGTCTTGCAGGTACCCCCCCCCCCCCCCATCTCACTCAAATTTCTGCTCGGAGCCAATCGTGACGGTCCAAGTCTGATCAAGTAAGATCAGTATATATAGGCCAACCTATTTAGCCTTGATTTTAATATATATGTATATATATTTGTTGCGCCTCGAAAAAACAGAGTCGCCACTAAACTTTATTTATCCCGAAGGAAGGGAAAATATCGAGAAAAAAAACCCAAAAGGAAGGATAAGATGGTCTTGCAGCCAAAAGAAAGGATACAAATGTCGATTACACAAGGGGAAGGTATTATCATCCCCTATGTCCTTGATACTGCACAAGATCCACTCTTCTTGTTCTAATCAAATGGTGTGTTATATCTAATGCTTACTTGTTAAGGAAATGGATGCATGAATTGCTTAAGGAAAAGAGAAAAGTTTTTATTATTGCGCTCGTCTCGATTTCAAAACCTCGTCCCTATGTATCCTCGTCGTGCAATAGAGAATCAGAGCACCGTAGTTTGGCTAAATTTTTTTGGATTGTTATGTGTTTTTTATGGGTGACGAACCCTTTGGAAAATGTTTTGAGTTACGCCCTCAAGGCAAGATGCCACATTTGATTGATTTGTATTTTGTTATTTCTAAAAGTGTTTGAGATACACACAATACTAAAGTCTATGACGTGAGAGACTTTTGGATGGTCGAGCCAGATGCCTCGTATCCAAAGTACTCCACGTGGTTAAGGCTTGTGACATATTTGTATGCATCATATTTTTTAGGTGTTTTGAATTTGCTTAAGAAAATAAGGTTTTATTTTTAGAATGCAGTGCAAAAAGAAGAAAAGAATTAAGGGGAGATAATCCTAATATTGTCATGTACAATGGTCTCAAAATTTGGATTGAGGGAAATTCTACTTAATTGATGTCATGTTTGGTTTAAAGTCTAAGGTCTAATTAATTAAATTTAATCAAGAGATTAAAATCGAACTAAAAATCCTAAGGAAATATGTTAAGAACATACAAGCAAGTACAAAAATCAAGCAACAAATATTACAATATTGCACACAATCCATATAGAAATAATACCGAAAATCACAAACGACACATGACATAATAATGAACAAAACTAATAATTAAAATTGACCAAAAGAATTAGAAAAAGGGGAAATTCCTAATTAATTCTTAAATATGTCTTCTAAGATCTAATATTTTTTTAATATTTTCATCATGCACTTTTTATTGTTAAAATTATTAAAAGAAAAATCAAAAGAAAGCTTAAAAAAATTATTAAAAAAAACAAGATCAGAGGAGTGTAAAGCAAAACTAAAGGTATAGACCAGCAAAAGGTCTGAACATACTAACCAGAGGCCTAAATGGAGTTTGTTTTTTGTTTTGATTAAAGAAAAAGGGACCACATAGGCTCAATATAGCGCGTGTCACAAAGTAACAGTGGGGGTATGATGAAGTACACCGTTCAGGCCCAACCCAGTCTATTTGATTCTCAGATTTTATCAAGAGTAATAAAAACGAAAAGAAAAATTAAAAGTAAAAAGAGCTAAAAATTGTGCGTTCCAACAGGTTTATGTGACTTTCCACCTCTTTTGAGTTCAGAACTACCCCCATCTCTAACCTTCGCCAGCGTGCCGACTGCGGCGGTGACATTAAACTGAACACACTATTGCCTGTGGTTTTCTCCTTCGAATTATAATCTCTGCTTCATCTATCCCGATTTTCCTCCAACTTCTTAATCTAACAAGCGACGAACCCTGGATTCTTCGAAATCAAATTAAATGGCGAAGGATCACACAATCAAAGCACAATCTCGGGGTTTCTCGCTACAACCTACGGACTGCAACATGGTGAAGAGAACATGCGAAAGAGAGGGAGAATTGGCAAGGAATGAAGGCTTACCTGTCGGAGTCGCTCCGACGGCTCTTCAACCGTGGCGTTAATAAAAAGGTCCAGAGAACTCCGAGAAAATGAAGGTAATAGTAAGCTTCCACACTTTCCCTTTCTTCGTTAAACTTTTTCTTCTTCTTCTTCTTCGTTCTACTCCATCTCTTCTTTCTCTTCTGCGAATTCCTTGTTTTGTCCTTCTTCAGTGTTGTTTTTGTATGTGCTTTGTTTGTTGTATGCTCAAGTAATGGAGTGATAGATCGAGACATAAGGCGAGAGGTTGATTTACAGAAGCTCTGAGAGAAAATTGAAGATGATTCATGGTTGTGGTTAAGGATAATGAAGCGTAGAGTTCAGCGAGATAGAGAGCGAGAAAGGTAGAAGATGAAGATGATGACAGAGAAGGAAAATGGTAGAGAATGGGTGGGTTCAGAGGGAAGATTGTCGAAGGAGAATGGAGGGAGAGAGAGAATGAAGATGGGATCTGAGTGTTATGAACGAATGGTGTCTGTGAATGAATGGTGAGGATGGTGATGAATGAAAGTGAAGCGTAAGTTGTTGAATGGAAGGGTGGTGGTTTATATAGATTGAAGTTTGTTGTAGTTAGTTATGGGGGATCAATCTCTGGCCATTGGATCCAGAAATCGGTTAGAAAATCTTAAGGTAATGATTAATTCAGTTAAGGGCTTTGTAATTCTGTTATGAGGTTAGTTGAGAATTTTGTTATTTGCAAGCTGGCAGTTGGAGTTAGTTTGTGAGAATTGGGAGTTAGTTGGTTTTTTCTGTTGACTCAGTTTGGTGATTAAACTGGTAAAAGTGCTACGGTTGGTTATGTTACAAACCTGTTACAAATTAATTTTTTTCTTTATCTTTTCAGATGTAGATGTGATGATGGTTAGTGAAGTTAACAATTAGAAAGTTTGTTAACAGGCAGTTATTGATAGTTAGAAGGAAATTGATACTTGGATGTAAGTTTTTGGATGGAAGAAACTGTTAGAGGACCAGTTAATATTGGTTAACTGGTAGTTTGAAATGGATTAGTTATTGAGGTTAATTGGTATAATTGTTAGTTGTAGTTTCTCGGATCCGTTTTTGAATGTGCAGGGCAGCCTCATGGCATATTTGCATCAGTGTAATATTTGTATGTACTTGAATGCTATCATGGCTATATACATACACTAAACTGCATGTTCATTATTGTACTTGTGTATTCGCATCTGGTATGAGGTTGCCGTGAATTTGCAGCATGTTGATGTGGGATTTTCGTGATGCAAGTACAACTTTGAACATGGTTCAACACGGAATGAAGGTCAAAATCGTGAGGGCATACTTGATGTATATGGACATGTATGTATGATGCTTTGTATACAATGAATGATGTTGTACCCTAAATTTCGCCCCTAACTTTTTCAGTCACACTTTCATACCATATTTTGTCATTCAGTCACAATCATTAACAAATAGCTTCATTCATCACATTTGCATCCTATCTTTAAGTTTGCTCTTGTGTTGTTGACTAACTTCTAATCAACATACAAAAAAATATTTGTCTTTGTCTTTGTATATTTGTGTTTTGTAGGTACCGAGTCGAAGCATATGGCAAATAAGGTTTTCTGGTATTATTTCCCTAAAATCTCTATTTGCAAAGAAAAAAGAATTAAGAATTTTTCATTTTTTTCACTGTACAATCGATTGCTCCTAGAGTGCAATCGATTGCAAAAAGTGAATTTTGCATAATTTTTGAAAAAATACATTGTGCAAATTGATTTTCACTGTAGTGCAATCGATTGCACAGCGTGAAAATTTGAAAAAATCAGCATTTTCAAGCTTGTCAAATTTTGGCTCCAATTTTCCTCTAATTTTTGAAAGAATTATCATTAATTCAAATTTTGGCTCCAAGAATCAATTACCAAATTACCACTAATACCAATCCTAAACTCTATAAATAGAGCCCTCATTTCATTCAAATCTCAAGCTTTTGATAGACAAAATCACTTTACTAAAAAATCTCTCAATTCTCTCCATCTACCAAATTCACTCAAAGCTCTATTTTCAAGAAAAGTTAGTAAGCTTTGCATTGAAGCTTACTAATCTTTGAGCTAAACCTTCATCCAAACACTTCTTCTTCATCAATTCTCTACATCCAAGCTTGGAAATTGATTCTTGTGGTTGAATTGAAGCAAATTCTTGAAGTTGTGTTGATAATTCTCTAGATCTACCTTTGGTAAGTTGGATTTTCCATCTTTCACAATGTGACCTCTTATTGATCTTTGGGTTGATTCATTGAGCATTATTTTGTGATTCTAATGGTTCTATTTTCTCATAATTTGATGGAATTTTCGTGCTCAATTGAATCCATGATCATAAGGTGTTTGATGGAAAGTTTGAACAAGAATTTAGCCTTTTAAAATGCTATTTTGATGTCTGTAACAGCGTGCAATTGATTGCTGTAACAATGCAATCGATTGCACTAAGTTAAATTTGCTCAAATTTTTGAAAACTTCACAGTGCAAATCGATTTACACAGTAGTGCAATCGATTTGCACAGAGACAGACTGCATTTTTTTGCCTTGTTTTAGGACAGCTTTGATCCAAATGCTTTTTCTACTCACTCCTTTTGATTGTTGGTTTGGATTGTAATTTTAAATGTCCAATTTCTCTTTAAATTTAATGGACTTTGTGATGTAGATGAAGTTGGATAAATGTTCATCAATTCAAATCTACCTAAGAGTGAATTATTTAATTCATTTTTTGTGCTTTGGATTAATGATATGTTTAGTGCTTTAATCCATCTAGAGGAGTGGCTGAATTTAAAGATGAAAGAATTTTGAGATGGTAATCCAAATTAGCTTATCATTCCCCTCCCTCTTCATCTTATCCATTTCTTTTTTGATTGTGCTACATGTTAAGGGATGACGATCTCTATATCATTTATCCAAACATGAAGTACATAGATTGCTATTGACTGGCCTCAAAATAGGTGCGACTTCTACATAAGTCCACTTACGATTGCTTAACATAGCGCTAAATTTTGTTCCGATTCGAATAAATGATCATTCGTGGCCCAAACCTATGTTTGCAAGCCCAAGTATGTTAATTTGATATCTTTGATCCAATAACCTTGAGATTCATTGTATGGAGGCTTTGGTTCTACCAATCCTCTAATGGATCTACATCACTTTTGGTCAACGCATATCACTTAAACAACGTTGATCATTACATGTTACTTTTTTAGGATTCCAAAATGGATGATATACTTGACAAAAAGCAAATGCAACTTGTTGTATGGAGGCTTTGGTTCTACCAATCCTATAATGAGTTCCAAATGCAGGTTTCAAGATGGTCATCCAACTAACCACTAATTTCTAACAATTGACTTTATTTTATGCTTTTTATTTTATGTACCATTTACTTTTTGCATTTACATTTCATGCTATTTTCATCTTTGCTCACTTGAGCATTTACTTTTATGTCATTTTTATTTTGCTCACTTGAGCTTTTCTTTTCCTTTTGAAGACACTTAATAATCAACATGAACCATACAAAATATTAATGATACTTGGACTATTTGGTTACTATCCTTGGCATTATGGAGTGATGGACTTCTTGGACTCAGGATTAGAGACCTTGGCTTATATTGGAGACCTTGTGACCTTAATTGATATTTTGTCTAGAGTTTTTGGGGTTTACCTCAAGACATTGGGTTATTTGTTTGTTTTGTGTGCAGGTTATTGTGATTACATACTTTGTTTGTAATCTGGAATTCACCCGTATACAACCGTTACTCTGTCCAATTTTTTCGAAGACTTGATATACTTGAAGTTTGGTCTTCTTAAGAGGTCTAGTATCTTTGCTTGCTTGGTTTCAATCCAAAGAATAAGAATTCTATCTTTACCCACAATGTCAAGTATTGGCTTCGTGTTGGTTAGACGGTTCTCTTCCTTAGCTTTTACCTTATGCTTTAGGATAGTCCCTTCATCTCCTCCCATCTTCTTTAATTTTCAAAACCTTCTCATCTTCTTTCAAAATCTTCTTTGTTTTTTAAAATCAAACCGCTTTCATAATAAACCTCGACTTTGTCGAGTGCGTTTTCTTTTAAACTTCTATTCTTTAAACAAACTTCAATTCATTTAATCATACTTTGACATCTTTCAAAATTAACAAAACAATTCAACACATTCAAACTCTTTTGTGCGCCCGATCACCTTTTTCCTTCAAAACTTTTTTCGAGGTGAGACATGATTCATTGATAGTCGAGCAACATTCTCCTATCCCTATGGTTATAAAGGTGTTGACTTTTCCACTTGAGTACCAGAGGCGTTCTCAATCCCTCACTCTTGCTGATGCAGGGTCCATCTTTCTCACACCTTGTGGGCGTTAGTCTAGATTTCTCTCCTAACAATGACGACTTGTCTCCTTGTTTAAAAAAATCAACAGACAAGTCTTTTCTAGCCGAACTACGGTGCTCTGACTTTCTCATTGCATGAGGGAGTACGTAGGCACTAAGTCTTACGACCCAAGGCGAGCAACAAAAATAATAAAAAAACATTTCATTTTCTTTTGTTTACAAATACTCATTCATTCTTTTTCTTTAGCAAGTAAACCTTTACATAACACTCCTTTTAAAAGAAACCAAACAAAGTGGATCCTACGGAGTACTATAGATGCTTGGGGTGCTAATACATTCCCTTTGCATAACCGACCCCCGTACCTCGATCTCTGATCTTTTTGGGTTTTGTTCTCTTTTTTCCCATTTCCCTTTGGAAACAATAAAGTGCGGTGTCTACTTAATTGTGTTGAGATAAGTCAATTGATGGCTTAATCTCAAATCTTTACCGCTACATTTCTTTACATATCATCACTGTCGCAATTGAGCACAGAAAAAGTGGCAACAAATGGTACGGGCTGAATTTTGGTATGGATGTCTTTTGACCTTTTGTGAACCATGTATTTTGATGCTTAAAAACTGTTATGGTTCAAAGAAAAATTGTTAGTTAATTGAATGTTTGTTAGTTGAAAGTTAGGATATTAGTTGTTAAATCTGTTTTTATGTGAATTTGGAAGGGATTCGAACGTGAATACGAGTGCGAACATAAATTGAATCTGAATGTGAATTTGGTGGTGAGTGAAAGTTGAATTTGAATGGTATGATGCTTTGGTGTTGATTTTTTCAAATGAATGGTAATATGTTGTATGTAATGACTTTATGTTCTGAATTTGTGAATGCGCTTTTTTGTATAGCTTTGTACATGTTCGAACTGACACGTCCCACTGAGTTATGTGAATGTTGGATTTTGAATGGACCTGATACATGTGAGGTAATGTTACTTTAAACCGAACTATGCTTGAATTCCTTGAACTGTATGGTATCCCTTTCTTAAATTGATGTAGTGTAATATACTATGTAGGACTGTTTTTGTATTGTGTTTGAATTTGATTCATGAGCTGTTTTGGTTTATGGTATGGGTCTCTTGGTTAATTGATAGACTGATTTTGCCTCTGTTTTTGATAATTGGATGCAGGACTTCATGTTATTGTTTATGTGGCAGGAAGCTTGGGTTGAATTCCTGTTTAATTGGCTTAATATTGATGATATAGGTGATGCTCAAGGTTGTTGGTTTTGTAAGTTTGTAACAAGATGAAGGCATGGTTGTTTGAAGTTTGGGCAGCTTGTCATGAAGGTGATAATTTGAAGATGAAGAAGCTTGGAAAGGAAGGGCGGAGTTAGACTTTTAGGAACTAGGCTTAGGGCCGAAATTTATGTAGTTTTTTATGTATTTGAAATGGATGCAACTTGCGACATCTTGATATTCAATGAACTTTTCTTATCCAAATCAATGCTCTTTCCACTTTATGTCTTCAAAATATGACTTGCTGTAATGTAGCTTTGTAGTGATGCTCTTGTATCTTGAGCAAATCATATGAACCAAACATTCAATAAAATGTTTCATGACTTTTACTTTAGAAATGAGACAAACAAAGTTGATCAACTTTCATTTTGGTGTAATTGATTCTTATAATATCTTATAACTTATATTCCAAAGCAGCTTGTAATGACTTGTGATTTAGTCAACTTTGAATCCGATTGAATGGAAATTCCAACTTTACCCCAAGTTCAATTTTTTTCCCGTACCTCAAATGTAATCCGGATGCTAAGCAAAGCAAATTAATGAATAACTTGTATTATGAGTGCATGAATGTGAGCAACAAAACCAAACGCCATAATGAAGCATCTCACCCCACATGATGAAGAGGGCCAAAATGTTGACAAGAAGTCCATTGGTGATGCATAACCAAGTTTTTGAATATTCATTCGATAGTCTATTCATCCGATAACCTTGAGCACAAAAGGATAAACCCTAATCTATGACATTTGCATCCTTAGTTAAGATAAACCTGTAAAAGATAGAGAAACTATAATGCACAAGTGAAATCCTGATCCCATGACCACTAATCTGAATCATGCCTTGTTAGTGAATACATGAGGTGTTAGATGATCTAATGCTGGATATGACACGATGATTATGAGATTCATAAGTCAGATGGTTTGAATAAAGGGTATGACAAATTTAGAGTAGGTCATCCTATATATATATATATATATATATATATATATATATATATATATATATATATATATATATATATATATATATATATATATATATATATATATATATATATATATATATATATAAGATTTCATAGACTTTTTTAATAGTTTAAGTCTAACATATTTAATTAAATAGACTTTTAAAAAAATCTAAATCTAATATTTTTATTAAATAAGTATGGTCTGACCGGATCTTAAATAAACTAGACTATAAACTCTTTAAGTCGGTCTAATCTATTTTCATCCCTAATTATATCAAATAAAATTATTAGTGCGAGATCACAAATAACAAATATCTTACTACTTAAAGAAGGAAATGCAAACAAGTCTATTATTGCAAAAATTGTCCCAATTAAACCTGCTTCAATAAAAAGCTACCAAGTCTATTATTGAAAAATTTGTCCTAATTAAATCCCAACTTTTCATATAGACTAAAATGTTGTTTTTATTTATTTATTAAAAAGGTGTTGAAATTTTTTCATTTTAACAACATTTCAAAAAATCCAATAAACTTATGTTAATTTTCGAAATCTTAAAATGTCCAATGATTCATATTAGGTAGGTTAATAAAAAATGAAATACTATCTAATAGTATTTTGATAAATCCAATATATTTATAATTTTATGAGTTTTTAAAAAATTTAGTAGATTATATCCTATAGACTAATAAAAAAATTAAATTAATACTATTAAATATTTTGATAAATCTGACATATTTTATAATTTTATTTTAAATTTATGATTTTATATTAAATATTTGAAAAATATGATATAAAAAAAAATTTATATTAATTTTTTCAAATATTCAATATTAAATTATAGATTTTTTAAGACATTATTTTGAACTTCATTTTTTTTTCAAAAACAAGAATAAATTATATGCTTTTATGCCATTTTTATTTAAAAAGATTAAAAAAAACTTAAAAAAAAATCAAAAACTGAAAATTTCGTAAAATTATGATATATTATCCAAAAATATGAAAAATCACAATTTTTAAAAAAAATCAAACATCTTTATTAAAGATATTTTTGTAAAATTGTATGTAATAGTGAAATGTCAGATTTAAAAAAAACGTTGTTAAGACAAAATCTATTATTATTGTCCATGTATTCATGGACTCTCGAAATAGATTCACCTCAATTTAGTAGAGCTTGTCATGATTAATAGCATAATAGGTGATGTAGGTTATTCAAGTCCATATCTAACGTAAGACGGTGTCTGGTCGAGATATGAGAGAACACATTTATGATTAATTGAGAATATTATGATACGAGATTTGAGTAAGAATGATTCTCAATCATCACTAAAAGGTCATGCGAATGCGAATAAAAAGGGGTAATCATCTTATATTTGAATGCTATTGTTGCATATCTTCTAAAATTAAATAAACAATACTCCTCTCGTCTCACAATGAGTGATTTATTTGAAATTAAATAATATCATAAAATAAATTATCTATTTCAATTTCTAATACACTTTTTCTAATTCTACCATCTAATTAATTAAACTTTCATCATTTCTAATACATAATTAAGAGTACTATAATAAAAATATTATTCTCTCTCTTATTTTTCTATACTTTTCTTAATAGATATGAAATGATAGACTGAGTCACTCATAATAAAACAGAAGGAGTAAGAAGTTTCATAAAAGCTACCGAGACTTGGAATCTCATTAACTTGTAGTTTGGTTGCGAGTGAAACTCATCCATGCACTTGCAAGACAATGAGCAACCCTATTAATTTGCCAATGAACAAAGACTATCTTATAAGTTGGATGAGAATGCAACACAATCGGACGCTATTTGTCTAGGATTCAATAATGCATCTAGTACAATTTTACAATCCGATTACAAACTAAACAGTATGAAATCTAAGCTATGAGCTAACTAAAAGGAGCTCAAAAGATCTTCTACTTCTACTGTAAAGAGGTGAGCATAAATTCAAAATGTTTGTTCAAAAATAAAAGTACTCGTGTGAGCTCTAAAGAAAAAGCCAAAATCTATATGTATTATTTATCGACATTAAATGAAGCAAAATCTATGTTCCATTTGATGAAGGCAAAATATGTATTCTTTTAAAACTTCAATTCTGGCCACTGAGTTGATGTTGATGCAAGGGATCGTCGTAAAATGTATCATCATGACTTGGTGAGAAACCATAATGGCTAGTTACAAATTACTTCCTTCAAAAAGAATATTTCTACACTTTTCAGATGCTCCAAACACGTGACAATGATAAATTCAAAGGCGGTCTTTGAATGCGTTTAAGAAGGACGGACTATCGCACATCATCAAAAATTTGCTGCGCTTAAGTCATAATTAAATAGAATTTCATAAAATATTTTTCATATTAAACCATGATTAAATAGAACTTCTAATTATTTTGTCATGGTTGAACCAAAACTTACTTACACAAAACCTCAACAAACTTAAGACGGTTTTGGATTCACCGAGAGTAATTTAAGAATCGCACAAAATATCATAAAAATCGGTTTTGGATTCACCGAGAGTAATTTAAGAATCGCACAAAATATCATAAAAATCACTTGCTTTGTTTAACAAAGGCTCTATAAGATTCCAAAGACCAATTTCTTTCCAACAAAGAATAGAGTTAAGATATTCAAAGAAAATGTGTTTTAAGCTCTCAAACACTGATCACAAAGCATAGAGTTACCAGCACAAGGGACACCTCAGAGTGATCAAATTCTACCAGGTAGAAACGCTTTCTCTTCAGCAAAAACTCTTTTACTGTAAGAGTGTTTGCATCTGCCACAATGCGTTCCAATGACCTGCATGAGCAAAATTAGACTCATTTAAATTTGCATCTTCTACAATGTGTTTAACTCATCTACATGAGCAATATTAGACTCATTTAAAACTGTAGACATGCATTATGCAATGCGACAAGCAAATTTTGCAGAATAACTACCATACATAGTAGGACATCAAATGATTGCATCTGATCCAACCTCGTGAGTGTAGCAGGTATGCATCCTTACCGCCGGTCTTCGAATAAAAAAAAGAAGACAGTGGGTCAGATTTTCATGTCAAAGATTTGTTTGTGGGTTGAACAAGTTGGAGACAATAGTTGAATGGCCAGACGAGGTGAAGGAGTAGTGGGGGAGTTCTAGATCGGATCCAAGGTTCAGATCGGGCATTTATCGAATTATCACCAACAATATTTCAACTGTAAACAAAGGAACAGTGCTACATATACTCTTCCATGTATACTTTGGGTTGTGACCGAGATCAGCCCGAGGGAAATATTTAGCCTTGAGGACACATGTAAGTAGAGAGTGAGAATCTTCCATTCTTGTTTTCTCAACAAAAGTAGCTACTTTTCTTGAGGAAAATTGTATCCAGTGACCGTCTTTTTGGTTAATTTGAATGGTGAATTTCTGTTATACCAATTGAATCAAGTGTGAACTTAATGCATTGATTATGTATTTTCATGAAAATACCAATTGAATACTGTCAGACTCATTAACTAGAGAAATTGACTTCACAATCATTATAACAGCCAAATCTTGTATTTGCGGTAGATTGATTTAAGGAAAAAGAATTATCATATTTATTTTAAATGTCAATTTGTACCACTTATACAATAGATATAAAATGAAAATGTGCATACAAAAAACAACAATAAACTGACAGTGCATTCTTCCTGGGATTGGATGGAAGAAACAACACCTGTCTTCCCGGTATGTGAATCTGTCTCTTCACTATTGCCTCTATATGGTATTACTCTTTTACAAGGAGATGATTTCAATTTCAATCCACTAATATAATTCCCTTATCTCTGTACCATAATTTCTCTTATACTCTTCTATTCCGGCAATTTTTCACATCTTCCAAAAACTACTTTTAACCTCTGAAGTTTGGTGGTAAAGTTTCATCGGTGAAATATTCCTTCCTCACAGTCTCTGCAGAGCAAAATCTTACCTGTAAAAGAGAATTAAAATGAGAACGGGCTGTCATGTCAAACAGAGAGAAGAATCCCTCTTTTTTCTTTAAAAGTTGAGCGTTTAAAACATGTATCACTTACCAGAGAAGCATATGATTTTAACAACGGCTTGGTAAGCTGCCAAATTGGTTTAAACACAAAAGGAGCATCCACAAACAATACTTGAGATAATCGCTTCGGATAGTAACAATAGAACACGTCAAACTACCAAAAATAAAGAAATAAATCAGATTTTACGAACTCAAGTCATTGTAGTTCATGAACATAAGCCAAATTGGGCGATGCCACTATGGAAATATCAACTAAATATATTTGGCAGATAGCAAAAAACACATACCAAAAATGTCAAGTATCTAAGATCAGCATTTTCTGTACCAAAACCTCTCAGATCAAATATTCCAAGTATTTGTTCTTCCCCAGGTGGAAGCTTACTCAATGCCTTCTCAATTAAGAAAACACACAACCTCTCATCATCAGCAGGGTCCTGTGCCTGTTGCATAAATATTCATCCTTAATGTAATTGTCAGTATTTCAAAAATAGCAGTATTCACTGTTAATTGAGGAACTGATACATCGGTTACTCAAATGCTACACTTACTTTAGGAAAATGCTTTGCCGCAACGACGATAAGCACGGGTCTGTGATTGATATCTAGAAAGTCATGTATATATGCTTTTCCAGTTTGAACAACACGTTTAACAGATTCTTCAGTCAATTTAGAGACCTCAAAATCTTGACGCCATTTCTAATGAAGTAGAAAGGGAAAGTAACAAGAAAAATGAAAGATGATATAATAATAATGAGAAAAAGGATACAATGGCTTTAGTCAACTTAGAAACAGCTTCTTCAACAGAAAATTTGCGATCTTTAAGAAACCATAGTATCATATCTTCATCATCCCTACCATTTCTACCAATAGGAAGAGTATGTTGTTCTTTTTCAAGTTTCTCCTTAACTTCCAGAACTAACTGCAAAATAATCAAAAAGTGGACAATATGGACTTAAAGGTCATCCAGAACACATATATGAAATAAAAAATGGAAAAGATTGAAAGAAAGTACCTTGCGTGAGTCACTGGGTTGCAGATTGAGTTGAAGGTTAGAGCTCCGAACCATGAATTTGGTTCTAAAGGAAAGTGTTGAAGCAAGACCAAGGGTGGTGCTTGTGGCGGTTGGGTAGACACGCACCAGCGCCATTCAATTTAGTGTCTGTTTTCTTCCAACTCTCTCTCTAGCTGTCCACACCGCTGCATCCATGTTGTATATTTTTTTCCAATAAATATTAACTATTATCATGGATGTAGTGATTCACTGATTGGTGTTTCTTTTACTTATAAAGGGGGAGAAAAATTAATTGATATGCACTATGACTATAAAATTTTTTATTCCATAAGTATATCACAATTATAATCATTTATGAGTAATATTTTATATATCATTAAAATAAAAATGTAAACTAATAAAAATCAAACGGTTATAAATTATCTTTACTTGTATTTCAATTAATCATTATTACATACAAATATTTTGAATTATTGAAATTTTGAATATTTTAATCGAATAGAATACTTAAAAAATCAATTTTTATTTTATTAAAAAATGAAATATTTTAAAGTTTAATAAAAATAAATTAAGGTTAAAAAAATTTGTGGGATCGTGCTTTCAACTTGACATATTTATAAATAGTTTCGGAATATTCATGTGACTTTTCTCAATAAATATTAGAGTTTGAATCTCTTTTAAACAAGAATTACGTGGAATCATATTTCCTATGGAATATGTTAATGAGAAGAATTAGTAACACTGTTCTGCGTTGTGATATAATTTAATTATGGGTGCAAAAAGATACAAGAAAGACATTGGGATTTTTAGAGTGATTATTAGATATCTAACCCTCACAAGTGTGAGTGTTTATATAATGTCTTCAGCGCTTGGCCTTTGGTTCTTATTTTTGGATCTAGATATTAGGTTCCTAAAAAATAGGTAACTGTCAGGACATGGTTAAAACGGGCATCCATGCTCGTAACTAGCCGTTACTCTGAGCAAGGAGGATATTATAGGCATGTGCGTATATGGGCGCTTCCTGGTTGTCTGCTCCTCGGGTATCGAGCAGACCGGGAGGTGGACGTTGATGCGGGCAGGCATATGGTCAGGACATCGTTATCCTCGCTATTCTTGTGGTTTGATCGACCATGTGTGCTCGACCGAAGACTAGAGCTAGTGGGCTAAAGTTTTGGGCCATGCTGAAGGTAGAAATGCGTTGGGCCAATTCTAGTCATTTGGCCAGTCCAGAACAAGAGTCCCCCAAGTCGTTGCTCTTAGGCGTAGTTGTGATGACTTAGAGTCAACCCGCGTGTCGAGGAGGTGGCAATGTTTTTTGGTGCTCATCGTGGGAGACGGGGACGCTTTGGGATGCGTTCGGGGATAACTGTGTCAAGGGAATCAAATGTGGTCCGTTGTGTTCGGCGCGCGGAGAGCTGAATGATTGATTGAAGTCTGGGAGATAGCGTTCCATGCTTGCATCGAGCCACGTGCTATTATAAATGCATAATGATGTCGTCTGACGGTGGTTCTACCATATAAGGATGTCGGCTTCGCCGTGAATTCTTTGGGAATGTCTAGCGTTAAGGTTGACAACAACGAGCTACAATGAGCTTTTGGGCCGTTTCTGGGTTTTTGTGATGATCTTCATACGTTTTTTGATGAACCCTCAAGTGAGGTTTAAAACCAAACTGTCGAGGAGATTACTCCTCGCGCGGGTTAGGGTTTGGCCTGGCAGGTAGGCGCCCAATGCGTTAGAGGGAAATGTCCTTGTACTCGTTTTTTGCTGTTTAAGTGAGGGCTCTGGTTAGGGACAGAGTCCTCGTTCCTTTGTGCGCCCTTTCACTTAATTAGAGGTGGAAAGGTGGATTTGATTTGACATCGAATTCACTTTCGTCCCCTACTTTTCAGGTAAAATGGTTAGCATCACTGAAGATGAAGTTATGGGCGAGCAAAGTGAATCCCAATAGAGTTTGTCCGAGCATGCTTCGATCGAAGAGAGTACATCCGGGAAGCAAGGTTATGAGCCTATCACGTCAGAGCAAATTCAACTCGAGCAGGATGTGCCCGAGACCTCCGTGGCTTTCATGGACTGGGTCACACCGGGTCCTCGATAGATCGCCTCCTATTTCACCGAGCATTCGAATGAAGTGTTTACAATTGTGGCCGTGGGGATGGAGCAAGAGAATCCTGAGGAGGAATGTGCCATCTACATACCTAGGAAGATCCATCATATCTTCTCGAAGTATGGTGTAAATTATTTCCCTATGTACGTGGTCCTTTTCAGGGACATGGGTTTCCGGCTTCCCTTCAGTGACCTTCAAGTGGTTGTTTATAACTATCTTCGTCTTGCTCCCTTGCAACTTTACCCCAACTTGATAGCCTTCATACGGGCTTTTGAGATTGTGTGCAATTATTTAAAGATTGAAGCCACTGTCCCTTTATTCTTACACTGCTTTGATCTTCAGAGGGGAACAATCGACAATCAGTTTGGATGGGTCTCCTTGAAATATGCTAACGAGAAAGTGTTCAAGGCCTACCTTGAGTCTGTCCGATACTTCAAGAATCTGTACTTGTTGGTCTAGCCTCTGTCAGAGAGGGCAATTCTGAATGTTTTCATGAGTATCCCCAAGCTGGATGAGGATGGGGAGCCGATGTTGATTGGGGAGGGAAAACCGAGGAGGGAGCTGGTGCAGATGGTCAATTTTCAATGGAACAGTGAGCATTTTGATCATGGGACCGATTGTTACACTATGAAGGTGGATCAACTGAACCCTGAGGACCAGGTTAGCTATGACTAGCTATTGTCCTTTGTCGAGGGAATACTCATAGTCCAGCGTGCGGACAAGGGGGGAAGGCCCGTCTTCGACGAGGATGGGAGACCGGTGTTCGAACCTGGGCTTATAAATATCAAGGAGCTCCTCGAATGCGAGGACCTCACAAAATATTTAGGTAGTCGTTTTTTTACCTGTCTTTACTCCGATATCCATGTTTTGCTAATCTGTGTTTATTTTGTTGTAGAGAAAATGTCTACTCCTAAAGAGCGCATGCTCAAGAATGCTGCAGCAAAGGCGAAGAAAGTGCAGAAAAGGATTGCCAAGAGAATTTTGGGTGTTGATGGACCAGGTGTACCTTCGACAGGGTCGGGGACTTCTTCATCGAGACCGACTGCTGGGTAGGCTTCTCTTCTTCCGGTGATCTTGGGGACCAAAAGACCCCATTCAAATGACCTGAAAGATCTGACCAGGGAACAAGGTCCTGAGAAATTCAGGGTTCCCCCATGCTTCCACAATAAAACTCTCTTTGAAGGAGGTTCCTTGGAGGTCCATCGGGAAGAGTCCTTGTTATACGGGAAAATGGATCGTCCGAGCAAGAGGACCCTACTGGCACAGGACGTTGCTGCTCTGATGCAGATCCTGGGTGCGGCGGTGATCCATACCGAGGAGGGGAGCACTGAGGAGCTGGAGTTAAGGAAAGTCCTTGAGGCGAACAAGGCTCTTGAGGGGAGGTTGAAGAAGATGAGGGTCGAACTCAAGGAAGTGGAGAAGGCAATAACACCACACTAAACCCAAAAAAATATTCGTAATTGTTTTAATAAAAAAATTAGAGTATATCACCAACAAGGGTGTCACATCTTCATATAAAACATCATAACAACACATCCTGCTCCGTAACACGGGTTGCAAAAACACTTTAAATCATATAACACCTTAGTCTCATCATATAATCATTTCAAACTTCGCAGCGGAATTAATAAGTCATATCTTCTTCATAACATTTAGTCATGCTTCATAATTCATACTTATAAATCAAAACATCTCGAGTACCACGTAGGGTGAATCAACATCTTAAAACAAAATAAAGAACATAAGTTCCAATCATTGATCCCAACCCATATGTTACATATCAGATCAAGACTCCCTTTATTCAACAAAAGCAAATAAATACACTCCAAAGCTATCCTCTAATGCTTCTACGAACTAATCTTGATCACCCGCGCGTTACCCACGCGAAGGCAACATTCAAACAGAAAGGGTGAGTAAATCATAATTATTATATAAAACATAGGGAATAGACATAATAAATATGCACATAAGCACGTCATCACACATCATCGTATCTTCATGTTATACTCACACCTATCATAACTTCATCAATACACGAACACACATCATCATACACAATGTATCATCAAGCATCACAAATAAACCATTATTCAATGTCACATAGAATGTTATGCAACCTCATAAACTCATGCATCTGGTACCAAAACTTTATTAATGACTCAATCATCGTTATCTCCAAAGATCCCCACCATAGGATCGATTCCCGCTTGGAACCAAGTACTTCACTGTTGCACCCAATCCACACTATGAGATTGATGCCTTCATTGGACAATCGTCCTATGATCTTCGCTGGACCAAAGTCCTAACTTCACTTGACCAAAGTCCTAACATATTCCATGAATGCATGACGCGCAACAACATAATAAACACGACCACGACTAGTCAACACACATCACCATTCACGATTACATTATCATATTATTGCCATAACATCATATCATCATCTAATAATCATATCATCAATGTGATACGGTGGGAGAACTGACTTGGAGTTTTTGCGTTTGTGTTTGCAAATGTTGCGGTTTAGCAAGAGTCGCCACCGACTTTTCTTTTATCCAATAAGGAAAGGTGAAAAAGCACAGGAAAGACCTTTAAAGATGTTTTCTTGAGTTCGAGGGTTAGATTATGAAAAGGGAAGGTATTAGCACCCTTTTCATCCATGGTTTTCCATGGGCTCTTAGTTGCTTTCTAGATTACTTGCTTTTGTTTGAATGTTTGCTTTGTGGGTTTTGAAAGTATTTTGAAAATGTAACTTTGTAATGATTCTCGTTTCTATAAGAACGCATACAAAGTGTTTGTTTCGAAAATAGTTCAAAGAGGTGTTTGTGAGATATGTTTTTGAAAGTGATTTTTAAAAAAAGGTGTTTTCTTTGTAAAGGTTCTCGTTTCTATAAGAACGCGTACAAAGTGGTGTCTTTTGAAAAATGTTTCCAAAATGAGAGTGTGGGTGTATGAAATGTTTTTGTTGTGAGCAAGCGAGCAACTAGGAGCAAATATACCTACTCAAAAGGTCTTAAATGTTCTTTTCCT